CGTAGAAGGTTACTTTTTATTCAAAAAGGTTACATTTTTTTTTTATTTCTCGCACTGGGCGTATAAAAGGCTAGTTACGGCACTGCCAAAAACGTGCCCATCAAAACTAAACTTTTTGACAAAAACTAAAGTTCAATAATTTTTATTATGTTTTTTGGTCATTGTTTTTCATTTTTGTGTTTTTTTAATGACACATAATATTATTGACTTACAAAAATATTTATTTATTTATCTGTAAGACGGGCACATAAGAAATACAAACAGTTTTTATGTAGAGTCACATAAAAATTAAGCCCCCTCCATTCCAAGAGGAGGGGGGTGGGCCCACATATGGGGGCATTTTTCTCTATAAAATTGACATCACAACATCGCCTTAAATTATCGCTAGCCCTGTCCCAAACACCCTGTATAAATATCATCATTAATGTCTTTCAGCATATAGAATTCCGATGTGGAGTTTAGGTCAGCTACTTTGAAATCATTATCATCACTATCATTGTCTATCTGCTTAAAAAAAATCACCGGTTGATCCCTTTCAACTTTCCATCCTTGTGTTTCACATAATTCACATTAAAATCTAGAATAACCTCGTCACTACTAGATGCCAGATTTTCATTGCATTTAGTAAAGACATGTCCGTTTTCACCATCAATCCCTAATTATTAAGTGACCCCTATGAAAGATGAAAGCAAAATTCCTGTTAAGTGTTACCATAGGAGGGGTCACTTAAAAATTAGGGATTGATGGTGAAATCGGGCACTGGTCTCTCACTCACGCTGTTTTAACTGGAATAAAGCCACCACTTTAGAACTTTTTTCGCACATTATGTTCATTATTGTTCATGTCGTATTTCTGTAACCTATTCAACTTGCTAATCTCTGTGAATACCTCGATTCATACTTAACTTATCATTCATATTTAATGCCTTCATCGACCAGTTATTAAAGATTTGAAAATTTTCACCTCAGGGGTTTTCGGTTTGATTCCCAATCAGGGATATACCTTAAAGAGTTATCTGAAATCAGCTTAGTGTAATGTTATGCTGACAATGATACAATTTGCATCATTTCTTTCCTTAATAACTTCGACTAGTGTAATTATTTATTTCGTGTTTCTTATTATTTCAGATGTAAAAGTTGAAGAAATTGCTGATGATCAGGACTTCATTAGTGAATCGGTAAGTGCTTCACTCAAGTATTACAACTACTATTTATTAATTACACTACCATAAGAACATTGCACAACATTTGTGTTAATTTTACATTAAAAACTATAGACCCCTTACTCATAAAATTGTATTCAGTGTTATACAAACTTGGTATTCAATGATCGCGAAATTAAAATATGATGGTGATATTAAAAGACAAAAAACTGTTTTAGTTAGTTCGGTCTTCAGTTTTATGAAAAAGGGGGTGAATAATAAATAGGCAGTGGTTAAAAAATGTTCAATACATACATACAACATTAATATACGTACTAAATAACGTACAATAAGTGAAACGACAACATGAGCACTTCATTCAATAATTGTGTGGTGTTTGGGATCCCATATTCGGTTTGGATTGCACAAAATCATCATAAAGTAGGTAAGTAACATTTTAAAATATTTATCACTATCTTTGACAATAGTGAAATTGTTTGACATGAAATAGAATTAAATCTATCGGAGACAAGACGCGGCAGCATGTCAAGCCAAGTTCAAGCAAACGTTCTATATTTCAGGAAAAGACTAAAGAACTTAAGGACGACAAAGAGAAAGAAAAAGAACAGCAAGCAGAAAAAAAGCTATCCCACAATTTGCTGAAGCGATCAGTTTGCAAACCTAACCAGGAGTTCCAATCGGAGTGCAACTCCTGCCAGTGCGCCTCTGACGGACAATCGTATACATGCACCCAAAATGAATGTTTGGAGAGAGACATGAATAAAGAAGTGGAGGTTTTTATGCAAAGCGAGGTACGTAAAAAAATTGTAAATTCATCAAATTGAAATTTAAAGATAGGGCTTCTTAAGTTAAAAATGTTAACTGATAAGAATGGCAACGGTTTATAAGAGAGGTTTTAACTAGTAGATTAAAATTTGTGCTTTAATGAGTCCCCAGACCATCTTTTCTTTTTCTATCTCCCGCTTGTCAATCGAGGATAGTCGAACTTTGGAACTCAAAATACCATATATGACACAGATCGTCACCTATCCCCCGGGACTGCTTAACCGTTTACTCAACGGTTGACGGTTAGACAACAGCCTGATCCTAGCTATACATGGGTTGTAGGAGTGGGAGCGAGAGATAATTATAATAGTCCCTTATAGCCTAACCTTAACTGTTAAGAACCCGAGTAATGTACATCTGCAATGGTATTTGACAAACTTGGTATTCCAGGGTGTAGACCACATCGAACGCCATTCAGTGTGCAAGCCGAGCGACACTTTCTACATCGGCTGCAACACGTGCCAGTGCAACCCGTCCGGCACCGACTATTCTTGCACTAACAAGCCCTGCCCTTTGCCTGATGACGTCGAGCTGTTCCACGAGCTTCAGGTAGCTATCAGAATTGGGTATTTTGACACCATTTGTCATAATTCCAAACAACTGTTTCAAAATAACAAATCATTCTGGTCTTAGAGGCTCGACTAGTTTTCAATCAACTGAATGATTTCTATGTTCAGCAGTGGACACCCTGTGGCTGAAATGATGATGATGATGAATGATTTTTAGATCTAGCTAACTTTTCATCAATTCAAAGGTAAATTGATAAAACGTTAGTCAATTGAGTTGGTTAATAGTAACGTCATTATACTTACCTTCCACACAAACAAAATCTATAGAAGAATCGCATTTGATCGTTTGTTTAACAAGTTGGTTAAGATTGTAAAAGAACGAAAGAAAGAATATATTTTCTTAGCTTATAGAACTGGTTTATTGATAATCCACCAATTTGATCCTTTCACGTCTTTGTTTTCAGGAGATGAAGCCGATAGTACCTTACACAGGCTACGAATACGAAAGTGGTGCTGACGAGCCCAAATTGTGAGAGATCCCACACCTTGCCAATAATCTTGTGTTTTTTTAATTAAATTATTTATAATGTCGATGTGTTTTATTCGTTGTGTGTATTACCTATATCATCAGCTTCCTCCAGCAGCTTTTACACCGTCAGAAAAGAAATATAACTCCTTCATGCGTTTCTTTAAATGGATCAGTAAAGGAATGTCTTGTTTAAATCAAATACATATGTCTTTTGGTCTAGAGGTCTATAATTAAATGGTAATTTTGTTGTAATTTGAGGTTATCTAGCTCGGATTTTTATAACTGAAGATTGCAGAGAGGTTCGATCATTTCAACTCGCAGAGACATAGCCATAGGAATACATAGTAATATATTCCTTTATCATTAGTCTTCACTTTAAAGACTGCACCTAATATTGTTGAACCATAGATTTTTCCAAGATAGGATTCCTCTCGTTATTCTCTTTCGTCATCATTCTAGTCATTTCAGCTCCCAAAAGCCAAGACCATCAACGGCACCTGCAAGGCCAAAGCGATGTTCATCAAGGACTGCAACGTGTGCTGGTGCAACGACGATGGCACCGGCTACTACTGCACTAGGCGAGTGTGCGTCAACGAGCTGCCAGAAGAACCAATTGTGGAAGAAAAACCTGAGGTTATTTGGATGATGTTTATAAAAACTCGTTAGCCGAACATCAGCAAAGTATCTTACTAATTTAATTCCTACTCGCGTTTAGTTTGGTTTCAGTGAATCTGTTGTAATTTTGGCTTGTGTTCCATAACATAAGAAGAAAATAATACATTATTTAAAAAAAAACTGTTATTCATAGTATTTTATGGAAAGGTTTAAACAAGTAAATTATCAGTTCAATGATAACTTAGTTCCATTAATTAATTGATGAAAATTTTAAAGTTCCAACCTAAATGTTGTAAGACATTTGGGAATCCAATTCGTTTCGATAGATGTTTAAAGGACAAAATGAGCTGCATTTCATTGTGCTCATTTTGTTTGTCATTTTATAAGGGTCACAATAATAGCTTTGCATTAATTTTATGACACCAACAATAAGACGAATGCAGAAAAATAACTATACTATCCGTGAAAGTCTAAAACAATGATACTCAAAGGCTGCCTCCAAACACATGAGTTTACTACAGCAATTTTCAAACAGGAGCTAAGGATATTAAAGAAGGAATGCCGCCCATACGAGGTGTTCGAGCTGGATTGCAACATGTGCCGATGCAACGCTGATGGGAAGTCGTTCTCCTGCACGAGGAGACTCTGCCCTGATGCTGAAGATTCTAAGGTTGACAACGAATTTGATTTACAATTCTATCTCCACTTTTTGCTTTTGGGTCAAGTTTGACAACCGATTTTTGAAAAAATATTATTCTTTCGGTCTAGCAAGGTTGACAACGGCTTTTACAAATAGGTATGATTTTTCTTTCAATGGCCTTTGGGTCGTTATCTGTTTTTTCTATTAAAAGTTTATTTTTTCTATTTTGCTTTTGGTAGCGGTGAGATCTTTAGTAGCTTTGTTCTTATTTGGTGGTGGTAGTTGTTCACGGTTTTATGGTGCTTTAGTCTTAAATCGATTTATCAGTAGGTGACAATTATGTTTGGTTTTACGGAAAATTGTTATGCTTTTTCGAAAAAAATTTCGTCTGTCTTCTCGCAATTTGTTTATTTTTTGTTTGTACCTATATCGGTGTTGGTTTCTTCTTCATATTAAATAAATAATATTGTTTTAATAAATATCGTTAACATATTCAATCTATTTTAATATTGTCACCCTGTATTACTGTGTTTTTAGGAAATAAACGTTTTGAATTTGATTTTTCTAATAGGCATTAATTGGAACATGTTTTTTATTTCAGAACACATCACTCGTCAGAACAGCCAGAGCAGCTCAGGTAACATTTAACACTTTCTTGAACAGCTAATGGTTACGCGAAAAAAATCACACCAACAACTCAACCACTCTTTCTCACATTATAAAAGAAAGAATGCTGAGCTTTATCTTATCGAACTAGTAAATATAAAATATAAAAGCTTCTCGAGTTATAAATCGTTGAATTCATAACTATAGACCGTAAACTAGCACACACTATACGACTGGTATAACGCCACTTGTCTCCAGTAGGAGGCGCCTTATAAAGCCTGCCAGCCTGGGCAGGAATTCCGGCTGGACTGCAACAAGTGCCTCTGCGACAACTCCGGGCAAGACTTCTCGTGCACGCGGATCGACTGCAACGCTCCTAACAACGATGGGGCCAGGACTAAGAGAGGTGAGGATAGTAAATGTTTTGTTCGTTCGTTTCAGCCAACCGTCCACTGCTGGACAAAGGCCTCTTACAAGGATTTTCACAACGACCGATCCTGCGCCGCCCGCATTCAGGTTCGTCGGTCCACCTAGTGGGGGGCCTGCCCATCAGGTGTTTAGTGAGTTTTCAAGCTTCGTCTTAGCATTGGCTTCCCCAACCCATCTGGCCAGCGTGGGGAGTCCAAATCTTCCATTTGTCCCTGAGAAAATTAGATAGGTTCTGCAGTGAAAATCAAATGATCCGATAAAGATGAACAGAAAGCTTCATCAGATCATGTTTCATTATAATATAGCGTCCGAGCTTTGGATGACATAAAAATTTACGAATCCCAAAATCCAATGAAAAGAAGATTTCCAAAGTATGTGGTTATCATCAAAATAGGCCACCTTTTGGAAGTGAAGCATAAATTTTTCTTCACGACCTTCTTTGTCCTTCCAGAAACTTCCAACTTAGTGGAGGTGTCAGCGGAGTGCACAGCAGGCAGCACCTTCGAGCAGGGCTGCAACACGTGCAAGTGTACTGCCGACGGCCGCCACGCCATGTGCACCAACAAGAAGTGTGTGCAGGAGAACCAGATCAGCACCGATGTTCACGGCTCTGGTAAGATATCAACTGTAGCCTTATTAACCCAGCCTTTCCTTTCATAACCTTGCAGTTTTATCAGCTGGAATCTGGCTCAGAAAATCCACCCACTAGTGTCAACGACCTTGCAGTTCAAGTCACGAATCTTTCGAGTGAAAGATGCAGCACTATATACGAATTTTGTTAATCAATCATCATCATATCTTACCCGAATAGCCTTGACTCTAGGCTAGATCGAGCGAGATAGGTGATATTTTCAAAACCAGAGTGAAAAGAAGTGCCTATTGGTGCCTAGGTTATGTACCACGCTAGATTGTCTCTACGCTATACATTTACAAGTGATTGCGCTCAAAGACTGATTTCAAAGTTGGTGTAAAGTACCGTGGTAAAGTTGTAAAGATACCCTTGCACAACCACTGGCTTTCTAGTCTTGTTCATGGACCTTCTGAGTTTTCAGGCACCAGCTCTTGAACAGTTTCTCATGTAATTATCATATTCCTAGACGCCGCTGACCCTGGTTTCCGCTGCAACCCCGGCGAGCAGTTCAAGAAGGACTGCAACGACTGCACCTGCTCCGCCGACGGCCGAAGCACCTTCTGCACCCTCCGCCTTTGCGACCAAGACATCACCTCCGGCCTCTAAACCAGCTGTTGCCACCTTGACATCAACGAGACAGGGAATCTCAATCTGTTCTGACAGAAATTATATTGTCTGACCAGTTCCAAAAGTCATTAAAAATTTTGAACACGTTTAAATAGCAGAATTTTCATTTATAACCATCATGATAAAAGAAGAATTGAAAAATCAAATTATTAAATACCTGGATATCGTTATATCGAGCATAGATCGGGAAGACAAAAATGTCAATTTTGTTTACGGACGATGAACTTTTTCCAATTGAAAATGTAGACGTTTTGAACCAATTTTTAGACAGAAATTATCCAAGATTTTGATATTCTATCAAGGTGGTACTCAAGCCCAAACTTGGGAAGATTTGGAAATGGTGTAGAAAAACATTTCGTATTTGCCGAAGTGATGAGTGTTTAAGTATTTGTGACTATTTTTACTTAGTTTTAGTGAGTGAGTGAGACAATAAAAAAGCAACTTAATAATTTTAGGACGCTCAATAGTAATAAAATGTTAAAGAAAAAGATATTATTGTGAAATTTTTCGTTCCAAAACTTCCATCTTTAGGAATCATTCCTAATAACATAGAAGCTGTGTTTTTGCATTTATAATTTACAAATATTTAAAAGTAAGCATACTGTGAAATGTAATTATTTAAGTTTTTACATTGAATTCTTCTCTTGCATCGCAATTTAGCATAAAGCTCTCTAAATGTAGCAAAGTGTGTAGTTGCTTTTTTATTTACTTTTTTGTCGTAAGGTGTGTTTTTTAAATGTCGTCATGCGTGTGGATTTATGTATTTTCACTGTCATTTGTAACTTCATCCTCATCATAGTTTTTTTGTTTCTGTGTTTTTTTACTGCGTCCATTTTCATATTTTTTTATCACTTTCAGTTTTAGTGCTCTAGGCGTAATTTACATTATGTTTTGGAGTTTTTAGTTCATCTCAAGTCTCAAGTAACTTTTTTACTCAGATCAAAATCAACTTTAACTTAAGATCTGAACTTTCATGAAATACGTTTGTTACTAATCATTATTTTCATGAACTTTCCCAATCATGCGCCGCCATTGATTTATATCTTGAACGTCATGTACGTGGAGTCTAAATATTTTAAATATTTTTAAAGGATGAAGTTAAAAAGTTTTTAATGGTTTTCTATCGCATTTCATTCCTCTAGTGTATGTGACTATGATAGTGATGTTCAATAGTGAATTTGTTATGATAAGTGGCTTGCTTGTACGCTCGCATACCGTATTAGATAATACCTAAGTAGTTGTATTGTGTGATATTGCGATTCTTTAAAAAATAAATGGATTTGATCATGCGCCTTTTGGACTTTTATTTTTGTTTTCAATGCAAATTCATCAAATAAAATTTTTAGTCATCAAATAAAGATTTTAGGGCGTAAGTAGTCCGTAAATTGAAATAAATTCCTTTAACAATGTAACTCATCATTACTGAACACCCTGTATGTTTTTAATTAGGAACAATAAAAAAATAATTATGCTATCGCAAGGGAAATAAACTTGAGTGTATACGTAATTCTGTCATTAAATCAGCTAATGGAACTCATTTAATTACTTCAAGTCAAATGGTTTGCTGTGCAGCAGAAACATGGTCCTGCTGAAAATATTACTCGGTTTCACTTTTATTTGGGTCGCTGAGGCAACTTATAGCTGTGAGTAGTTATCTTTATCATACCTACATAAATATTTGCTTCATTTTACGCGGTATTATATAATATTTTGGTTAAATCCTAGGACCAAACTGATAGACCTATTTTTTTAAATAATTAATAAGAATTTCTCTTAGAGTTTTTTTTTGCAGAAAATATTTTTTTGCCATTATAATATTTTTCAAATGTGCGAATACAAATCTATTTCAAAATGCCACCAGATATTTTTTAAAGCCACGTACCGCATGCACATAGCTTAAATATGAATTGGATAAAGTGGACTGGTTATCAACGTGTGAGATGAGATCACCCGATAAAATCTATAGTTTTATTCGTAACTCCTTTCAGTATGCAATTAAGGTCGCGACTAAAGTAGATAGTAAATATGTAAGGAAAGATAAACTAAACAGATGTAAAATGCCATGGATTAATGAAAATATTATTCGTCTTTGTAATAAAAGGGACCAATTATTTAAATCGTGGAAAAATAGTTCAAATGATCCGGCCTTGAGACTAGAATACAATAAAGTTCGTAATAAAGTACACAAAATCTTAGAAAATAGAAGAAACTGTTATTACTTAGAGGAAATCAAATCTAATTCTGGAAATAGTAGGAAAATTTATCAAATAATTAACCAAATGCTAGGAAGGGTGACGCTATCAATTGATCAAGCAATCACAAAAGCCTTTGATGCACAAGGAATTACTCCCAAAATAATTGCGGATCATTTCGCAAACGAGTTTGATAACGCAGTCAAAGATATAATTCCTAATTGTAAGTCACCATTAGTAGACCAGGTGGATATTTCTGAGATGGACCTTAACTGTAGTTTGTATTTGCAAAAAGCCACCAGTAAACAAATAAGTAAAATTATTGACAGACTTAGCTATAACAAAGCCCCAGGACTAGATGATATCAAAGTATCAGATATTAAAATGGCAAGGCCCGGCATTGCCACGGCTATTGCCAACCTAATTAATTGCAGCGTTAAATCTGGGAAATACCCCGATGAACTAAAAATGGGATGTGTCAGACCGATTCATAAGAAAGGTAAACGAGATCATTACTCGAACTATCGCCCGATCACATTGCTTTCCATAATAGACAAAATCGTGGAGAAATTTTTTTGCGAGCATATACATAAATTCTACGCAAAACACGAAGTTTTATACGAGAACCAATTCGGGTTTCAAGCCGGCAAAGGTACAGCAGAGTTATTGTCTAAGTTCACAGACGAGGTTAACGAGCATTTAAATAATAAAAAAATTGTAATGGCTCTCTTTATTGATTTTTCACGCGCATTTGACACATTAGAACATAGACAACTAGTTCATAAGCTCGACAAATGTGGTATACGCGGACCATTGCATAAATGGTGCGAGGACTACCTGAAAAATCGTAAATACTTTGTTAAAATTAACCAATCGTTAAGTGAATCTGTCGAGGCAACGGTTGGCACGGCTCAAGGTTCAGTATTAGGACCTCTCCACTTCTTGACCTATGTTAATGACATGAGCAATTGCCTCAGTAACTGTACTTGCTATCAGTTTGCCGACGATACGTGCCTTATCATTGCGGATAAAGACCCGCAAAAAGCTTGTGCGCTACTACAATCTGACCTAAATGCACTATTACGATGGTGTCACGATGCAGGTCTAGTAATTAACTGCGAAAAAACTAAACTCATGGTCATAAAATCTCCTTACATGAAACGATTACCGCCCAATCCCATAGTAGCTCATAACCACAACTGCCTGCATACATTAGTGTGCAGCTGCCCTCCGCTGGAGGTAGTAAATAGCATAAGATACCTAGGGTTAATAATTGATGATACTTTCAACTGGTCCAATCATGTTCAACACATTTGTAATAAATTAAGACAATTTTTGGCCAATATAATAATTTTAAAAAAGCGCATACCATTCAAAACTAAATTAATGTTGTATCACGCAATGGCTGATTCATATATTCAATATGGACTATGTAGCTATGGTCGTACGTACAAATCATACCTCGAAAAAATATATAAGCTTCAAGTAAAAATTTTAAAAAATTTAGTTTCTGTTAAAATTAAAAACCAATTTCTAGATGACGATATTAGCTTATTTCAACATTGCAAAATCTTACCCATTCATTCACAATTTAAAAACGTTTTTCTTAAACAATATTTCTTCGAAGAAATGCTACGAGAACAACGCGTTCACCCTGTATTCACTCGGGCGGTCGCTGCGGGCCGGCTGTGCACACGCCGAGCAAACAATACCTACGGCAAGCGCACAGCGACGTATTTGTTACCGCGATTATTTAACGAGTTACCCTCGGAACTTAAAAATAATATAACGCCAATTAATATCAAACATAAAATTAAAACGCATTTGCTTTTGAATATGAAATAAATGAGATGTCAACATGTCGGGTATTGTTTAGATTCGGGATGATTAATTAAAGTCATAAAATATTGTAAATTAATTGAAATTATTATTGTAACCATAAGTATCGATGTAGAACTGCAACAGCATCAACACAAACCTTAGTGGTTTCCTGAATGCTGTCAAAACAAATTTTGTCTGTAATTCTTTTTATTTGGTAAATAAATGAAAAAAAAAAAAATGTCAATTTTGCGAAAAACAACTTCTTACCTCTCATTTCAATGACACATGAATAAAAAAAAATCTAAACAATAAAAAATACACAAAATAGTGATTGCTAAAAAAATTTAATGAAAATGAAAGTGAAGTCAACACCCTGAATTGTGGTTTACGGCAGTGGTGGCGCGCGAGCGCTGCGTACCCACGGCCGCGGCGCTCGGCGCGTGCCACGTGTGCGTGTGTCGTGCGGACGGCGTGTATTACTGCCGCGCACGCGCGTGCAAGGAGGCCAGTGAGTATACGCATGTTATTGATTGCTATATTACTTCTTACTTCATCTATAATTTAGGTTGTGACAACCCTCTTAGGCGATTATCACACTGATCCCAGCTACTCCCGTCACCCCACATCCTTGAAGCTTGTAGTGCCCACCGTTTAGGCGCGCTGGGAAGGAATGTGGTAGAGAAGGCTTTGTCTGGAATCCCATTGTTCCCTCCCACGTACGGAGAGTGATGGAGCACCAGGGTCATTTTGGTGGGCATGCTTCGTCTTTCTGACTTGGTGAGCCCCACATAACCTGCGCTGGACCGGGCTGGACTGTCCCCGGCCTAACGTTGGACCGGGTAGAAACCGGCTCGTAAACACAGCCTCTAAAGGATCGCGGTGCAGTGTGATAATCACCTAAGGGCTGAAAGAATTTACTTGCGTAGAAATATGGAACAAAATATCTGATGCTTACATTCAAAGTACTCAAAATTCTTTAATGCCAGTTTGTAATATGATTCCATTAGTTGTAGATAATCCAACTTCAATTTCTTTCACCAGATGTGACTATTGATACCATCCAACCAGGAAAAAGAGAATGTTTTCCGAACCATTCTTACAGAGAAGACGCACTATTTTGCTCATGCAGCGACGATGGCCTCTGGGTCTCCCACAACTGCCGTCAAAAATTCGGAACTATCACACCAAATTCCATTCACCCTAGACACAAGCTGAAAACCAATATAAAATGCACTCCAAACTCCTTATACCTCCTCGATTGTAATGTCTGTGAGTGCGGGCCAAATGGTGTCATTGAAATGTCTTCCTGCACGAACAGAAAATGTCACAGAGGACGTAAAGTAGAAGCCTGTAGCTATGGAGACGTCTTACGGATAAACGATGAAATCTGCTTCTGCAGCGATATCAATTTGTACATTGACCGCCTCTGCCTCAAAGTAGAAGACACGGCCATCCAAGAAATAAACAGAACAGACTTAGAACGTATCATTGAAATAGGAAAATCCTGGACTAGGACCAACGAGATCCATTTAACAGCTTGCGTCCCAGGATCAGTTTTAATATACGATTGCAACCGCTGCTTCTGTACTGCAGCAGAGGTGTGGGGCTGTACTATGAAGGGATGTCTGGCCCCGAAGATATTGAGGTCAGACAACAAGAAGAATGACTTCTACTCGCTACCTACTTTGAAAGATGAGAGAGAAAAGTGTGAGCCTGGGCAGCAGTATCGAATTAAGTGCAACAGCTGCATTTGTTCGAAGAAGAACCGTCCGATTTGCACGACGATGCTTTGCATGGAGGATATAGTGGTGGATAAGAAGGCATTAGAGGCTGCCTACCGGGAAGGCCGTACATAAGTCAGATTGTTTAATAAATTGTTGAATGAAAATTATATCTTTTTCTTGAATTAAAATTCTATTTTATTGAACTAATTCCTGCCCAAAAGGAAAATTAGGTAATTACTAATACTAAGTACTCCTAACATAATAAGAAACAAATTTATTTATTGGTTTACAAGTTGGAATAATCTTACTAGCATATCCAAAGTCGCTATACGTATTCGATGAAGTCTTTTAATAAGGGCGAAGATCTTGCAGTACCTAAATTACACTAGGATGGTAATGATGATGTGGTATAGGCAGCAGCACAGGTAAAATCACACCTGTTAAATTACCTACATAGGATGGTGTAGCTCATAGCTCTATGCAATAGTTTGTACACATGTATGGTCTATGTTTGTAGGGAACACATCTCTGGATTTTTTCATGATTGATTTTACCTTCTTTAAATATTAATGACAGTTAAAATCCTTTAAACTTCTAGCTGACTTTAACCCCTCTCGGAGCATCCACGGTGAATTACCGCCATTGCCTGATGGTGACTGCGAGGCAGGCAAGATGTACAAAAAGGACTGCAACACTTGTCGCTGTGGAATGAACAATTCTGTGATTTGCACGAAAATGTCTTGCCTGACCAAAAAAGACATGGACCGAGTGAAGCAGATGGTGATAAAGCAGAAACTCAAGGAAAAGGAAGAAGAAAAGAAGAATAGTAACAATAAAATAAGGAAAGTAAGGATAGTGGCCGAGGCGCCGATCAGGGATTGTGTCCCAGGGAAGATGTATCAGAGGAATTGCAGGGGTTGCTACTGCGATTACAATAAAAATATTGTGTGTGTCAGAGAAGCGAAATTCTGTAGTAGAAGTAAGTTGAATAAATTGATATTGTTATATGTTCCTTTCAAAACAAACAATATTTCTTAATTCTAACGGTACACTATACCTACTTTAAATGTGCTGAGTTTACGTTTTTAATTTACCTTTCTTATTCTAAGAAAGTTAGGTCTGGTACTAGTACTTAGTTAATAGATTTTTTGCTTCCAATAAAATCAAAAATAGTAATTTTTAGGGAGGATGTTTCAATAGTCGCCAGGCCTGAACGTTTTGCCTAAACATTTTGCTTATCTACTGTATCTGACTACTACACTTTGCTATTATGTTTTTGCCATAAAGTTAATATTCCTTCGGGTTTTTGCTAACCTGACAGCTTATATTTTTAAACTTTTTTTTTTAGTACTACCTAATGGGAGTCTTTACTTACAAATTATCAATTTAGATCACTACTTTGAAATGTTAATTTATGCTTATTATTATGTATTCCCTTTGCAGACTACTACCCAGATTCACCAGACGACATGCGTCCCAAACTCAGCAGGGCAGAGTTGGACGCGCTCCCCACACTAGGACATATCTCAGAGAAGTGCACGCCTGGCAAAGCTTACAAGGTGGACTGCAACTCCTGCGTCTGCATGATAAACTACAGCCTGATGTGCGATAAGATGCTGTGTCTGAGCTATGATGATATGCACAGATTGAAGGCTGAAAAGGCTTCAAGTAAGTTTCAGGGACACGAGTTCTTGTCTGAATAGATAAGCTGTCTTTCCCGAAGACTATAATCCGGGCCTTTTCAAGGCGAAAGTGAATAAGCACTTACAGGGCAGATATGTACCATCCTAGACTGCATCCCACTTAACACCAGGTGCGATACAAATACCTGCTTTGTGATGCATAAAAAAAATGTAGAAAATTCATGCCCGTGTGGGGTAATAGGTAAACTTCTCCTTTACTTTGCGCTAGCACCGTCAATGTCAATACTCGTAAATATATTGCCACTATCAGCCAGTGGCTTATAATATGTCACTTTCCCCGCCAAAAGAGCGGGGTCTACCTCACCAAAATAAATAAATAAAATAAATAAATAAATATCCTTGGACATTTTACACTGCGCCGCTAGCCCCAAACTAAGCAAAGCTTGTACTATGGGTACTAGACAACGGATATAAACATACTTAAATACTTTTTTTTTGTAAATACATACATATTATACATAGAAAACACCCAGTCTAATACAAACAAATATGTTCATGCACACAAATGTTTGTACTGTGCGGGAATCGAACCCGCAACCTCCGGAATAGTAGTCCGATTCGAACCACTACACCAAACGGCCGACAAATTGTTAAGACCTTAGATAACCTCAGTGAGAAGCAATTAAAGGTACTTTTGCACCGCTTGGTGACGTCTGGTGACGGCAGAGTAGAATACATTTGTCACCAACCCCTACTCTTCCCATGGGTGTCGTAAGAGGCGACTTAGGGACTACACATCAAACAGAGAACGGGCAGCAGCGCTCTCTGAAAGACATCAATCTTTTAAACTGCGATCTCCAACCCGCCTGCCAAGCGTGGAGATTATGGCAAAACCCTCCACTATAGTGGAAGAGGCTCATAGTCCAGCAGTGGACTGTAAAGGGCTGTTGATGATGATGGTTGCACCGCTTGACTCTGAAAGACCTCTCTTTAGCAAGTATCGTCGACGTGTGTAAAAAGTGATAATTTCATTATTTCAGCCAATGACAGTCCATTACTGAACTTTTAAGCCTTCCCCACAGAATAAAATGATGAGTCATGCAAATTACTTAAATTCCAGATAAAAACTGCACTAAGGGTGCACCAGTAAAACCACCAGGGGAATGTATTCAGTGCTCTTGTTCGGACCAGGGGAAGGTCATATGCCAGGAGATACACGGCTGTCTGTCTGAGGACGACAAAAAAATATATGATAAATTCGACAAGAAAAAACCGAAGGTGGCTCTAACTATGAGCACTAAGGAGAAATGCGTTGCGGGAGCCATTTATAAGTATGTAATCGTATTAAAAAAAAATATTTATTCAGCACTTATTACCTTTCCAGTGCACTTGAATACGTCCCAAATATAGCTTGCCCTACCACCACTTTGGTACAACATATGGGCTGGTGCTGAGAAGTGGTGGAAGAAACTCAGTCACCTTTCTCGTAACTTTTCTTGCTCAGTGCAACTCGAGTGAATGTAATTCTATTATGAATATCAGACATCTCCAAACTTTCTGGCCAGCATAAACAGCTGAACATAGGCCTCCCCCAATGCTTTCCATGCTGCCCGGTTGGTAGCGCGGCCTCCGTCCAGTGCCTTCCTGCTACCTTTATGATGTCGTCGGTCCACGTCTCACGCTGCGTTTTCCGGTATGCGGCCTCCACTCCAGAACCTTGCTGCCCCATCGGCCATCAGTTCTGCGTACTATGTGCCCTGCCCATTGCCACTTCAGCTTGCTAATCCGTCGGGCTATGTCAGCGACTTTAGTTCGTTTACGGATCTCCAGTTGCCTGTGGTAAATTAGAGAGGTCGTACTCTTACAGTGGAGACCAAATAACCAGCTATCCAAAGATGCACGCCACGAAATCATCTTATCGAAGCATTTAATCGATTTTAGATGATGAGCCCATACATCTGTCGTTTAAAATTGATGATGATGATGATGCAATAAGAGATCGTGCTCCTTTATTGGAGACTTAGTGATCTGATAATGAAGACTACATGCTTATAAAGAATCTGGACTGTTTTCCAGACGTCACTGCAACCGCTGCTACTGCCAGCCGGGCGGTTCCATGCGATGCACGCAGAAGACATGCCTCAACTACGCTCAATCCCTAAAAATCCAAAAACAGCGGCTGTACCTGCAGAGACACGGACTTTAAACACTTTAATTTGACAATAAAGAAAATCAGACTTAGTTAACAATGGCTAGTAATGAAAGAAAGAAAGAAAGAAAAAACATTTATTTGGTACCAAAAATGGATACGATTGTTAGTTTTAATCAAAGCAAATGTAATGTCGTCTACGAATAATATGTGATGACTAAAATTAAATTGATGTTTAATTTTTACCCAATTCCGCATTAAAAATAAGATAAGGCCCTATCCTATTTGAGAGCCAAAAATAATCAGTAATGATTTTTTTTTAATTCCTCTGAGGAATCATGCGTAATAAAAAGACTACTAATAGACCGACGACTCTATGTATGTGGATATATATATATGGCTTCTTTAGTCAAATGAATTTCTACATAATATTTAAATAGGTCCTATCAGTACCTAGCAAATAAATGCGGAATTGAACAGTAAAATTTAGTTTTCCTATTATTATTGTCAGTTTTAATAATAATTAATAGCTAACTTTTGTTTATTTTCGATATGTTTTGTATCCTTGCGGCCTTGGTGAAAACTCAGGGTCATAAGTAATGATCGGGATTAATTACTAATAGGTTAGCCACATAAAGACCTAGGCATAAAATTTTGATTGGAATTTTAACGAGTACTCGTAACTATTTTAGTGGTAGGAAATTAAAAACATCAATTGAAAATCAAAACTTTATTGGTTTACACGCCATTGGAGCACAAAATTATATCTATAAATTATTTAGAACAAAAATAATACATATTTATCATAGGAAAACACGATGATGGTTGTGACATTTTTAGCTTTAGTATCACAGCTTCCACTTGGATGGGGCACAGACCGTAAGTTGAATCTTGTTTTTGTAGAAAAAATGCCGTCAATGCTACATCTTGAATTTCTTCGATAGGTGCGTGCGTGCCCAATACGCAGTTTCTACTGAACGGCCGCATGTGCCACTGCAACAACCTTGGCTGGTGGACGGATTCTGACTGCGTCTCAATTGAGAGACGCGTAGCCTGTATCGCAGGCCAGATAGTTTGGCAGGGCTGCAGCCAATGCATTTGTCAAGAAAACGGCCAACTCCACTGCAGTGATGCAAGCTGCTACAACGATTCTCCCTACAGAGGCGTAGATGCAGTCACCTCGACACGAAAAACAATTGACACAAAAGATTCCACCAGCACTTGGTGCACGCCATTCAAGTCGTACTACATCAACTGCAGCATCTGCGTCTGCCCCGCCTCAGGCAGGACGTCTGAGGCACACTGCGCCACTGACACCTCATGCCACCGACTGTCGCCATCATCTACCGATTTTCTCTTATCAGTGAACAAAAACATTTGCATACCGCAAGTCATGTATCTATTCCCCTGTCTCCATTGCCTTTGCTCCGATGGCGGGTATTTCATTCTGGAAAAATGTGTCGAGACTTGCCATCGACCGCTGCAGATCGAGTCTACAAGGAGATGCATCTCCAGAACGTTTTACAGGAGGAATTGCAACGTTTGCTGGTGTCCAGACGATAGCATGCCTGATGACAAACTTTGCACTCAGAATGTTTGCACCGAGAACTCTAAATTCACGTCTCTTGAGACTTTGAGAACCCTCCGTATTAAGTGTCACCCTTACAGCTTTCTGAAACCCAAGTGTTTCTACTGTGGATGTAACACAAATGGGAACATCAACGAAAATGCGTGTTTGGAATTAGATTGTCTGAAAACCAACGACTTTAAATATGATGTCGCAAAGTTAACATGCAGCCCAGGGGAAATGGTGCCGAGTTGTACTGAATGTTTTTGCTTACGTAACGGTATGACCAATAAAACTTATTGCACAAATGTCTGCTCATACCAAAGTAAGCTAAGCCTGCTCGACAAAGTCTTGAAAGACAGTTTTTCTAACCAACTCCTGATTGATAGAAAAGATATTAAAAGAATTGCAGAAAATGAGTTGTGTGAACCGAACACAATGTACATTGATCAAGGGAGATATTGTCTGTGCCCAGAAAATGGCAGCACAAATTATAAGCTTTGCACTTCTGTGAGTGAGGAGTCTCACGTCAAGAGACCAAACTTTCACAGTATTTTGAAGCACGGCTTAAAATATGTGGATCTCAAAATGAATTGCACACCGAATTCATTTGTCGAGATTGATTGCAATACATGTTACTGCGCGAAAAATGGTAAAATTGATCCTAAATGGTGTACCTACGACGATTGTAATGCAAAGAAGATAATTCAAGATACTCATAAATCTTACCGCGTTTCAACCATGCCCAGCGTGGACACTTGCATACCGGGATCCATTTCAAAGGTAGGATGCAATTACTGCATATGCCCTGAAAGCGGGATACTGAAAGACCGAGCGTGCACCAAAAATAAATGTTCCGAAATCCAGGAGCAAGTGGACGACGACAAATTCGTCTGTGAACCTTTAGCTTATTACCTCGTGGATTGTAACGTTTGTCTTTGCCCTCGTGATGGGGTGAAGAATGTACAGAAGTGTACCAAGAAGATATGCGAGAAAACATTCCTCAGATCTGATAGTTGTGTATCCGGGCAATTCTTCAGTAACGGTTGCAACGTCTGCGTATGCCCTCCGAATGGGGATAAGTCTGACAAAGTTTGCACGAAGCATAGATGTTCGGATTTTGATACTCCTTGGAAGAAGATATTCAGGCTCTCGCAGAACTTGCTAGACAATCGAGTAACGCAAGATAATAAGAGGGAACTAGACTTCTGTTTTTCAGGGGAAGAATTTGAAATTGGTTGCAAGATTTGCGTATGTCCCGACGTCGGGTTAAGGTCTTATGCTACGTGCACGGAATCTTTGTGTGACAAGGAGAGTAATAAATTAAATATTTCAAAAGTAAGTTCGAGGAAACTTTGCATCAGATAAAAAATGAAAATTTCATAAAAAATATAATCAACCTTTTACAGACTATAGAAGATGTGTCTTTGGATGAAAATATTGGAGCTGAAATATCTCATATCAGATACAGAAGAGACGATGGGGAGTCTTGTATGACTTTCAACCTGACAGACAGCTCTGAACGAAAGGAATGTACACCAGGTTCCGTGTACATAATAAGGTAAAAACTTTAGTTCGTTCGTTCGTTTCAGCCGAAGGACGTCCACTGCTGGACAAAGGCCTCCCCCAAGGAGTTCCACAACGACCGGTCCTGCGCCGCCTGCATACAGGAACCTCCCGAGACCTTCACCAGATAGTCATCGGTCTGTCAGATAGTAAAACGTAAACTAAAACGTTTTATTTTCTGTAGTACAGCATAGTAAAGGTGCTGATGTGATGTGAATATTTCTCGACATTTCCTGGTGATTTTTTTGATTTTTCATATCCATTTTTATTATCCACTAATATGGTGACTGCATTGGTTGTTTATTTTTAAAGGTGCCGGCAATGCATCTGTCCGTATATGGGCAACATCAACTACTTCTGTCGTCCGCTACCGAAGGGGACCTACTGCGAGCAGGCTTACCCTAACTTCAACTACTTGCCTATGGGCAGGCGTACTGATGAAAGTAAGATTTGTCATAACTTGTGGTGACGAGAGCATACAATTCAAGTTTGTAATCGTTTGACCCCCATTGATAACTCCTAAACGTATTCTAATCTTTAATTTTGAATGTAGAAATGTAGATCCTTTACAATACTCAATAACATTATAATCCCTCAATCTTTAACTGCATAGGTACTGCTATCTTACCTCCGATCCAACGGTCGAAACACAACAAAGCTGTTAACATTATTGTTATAGCTTTAGACTTTGGAAATATGGTGGTAGTTAGCCCATTGAACTTAGAATAAGCCGTACCAGCCGTACTACTAACCAATCCGCGCTGTTTTTTTTTACCCCATTGGGAATAGAACCCTGAAATCTCTGGGTCTGAGTATGTCATCACTCACAGAGGTGGTTTTCCTATTCTTCCAGAAAACTCGACGAGCCTGAACGCAACCACCACCCAAAGCCCCTTCAGGCCGATGAACCACAACCACACCAAGTACTCCTGCACCTCTCCCGGGAAGATCATGGATGCCTGCTTCATCTGCGAGTGCCAGGACGACCTGGTCCTCATAGAGGAGCACTGCTTCAAAAACACAGCGGAGAAGTGTAGGGATGCTGAACAGACCTTTTTGGATAGTGAAAATAAAGCTGTCGTTACGAAATGAAACGGTTGTTTGCTTTGGTTGTTTGTTAAGAAGTTTGACCTAAATATTGCTCATGCAGTCTTGAAATGATATCGTCTTCAAATGCCTACATGCATCTCTATGTACATACCTACGAGTAATAGATACATGGTATTGATGAGGTATTTTGTACCTAATTTCAATATGAGTAAGCTAAACATTTTACGAAGACTGGAATCCGAAATGAAAAGCTTTTTGGTGATTGGTAATAATACATCTATTAGATATTTCTCACAATGCCTATGGCGCGATGGCGGTTCATAGAGTCTGCTGCTAGAGAGATGGTGTCAGGTGTTTTATTATACATGACTAGCTTTCCGTCCGCAGCTTCGCCCGCGTGGACCCCTAACAACCAACAACAACAACCCTAAACAACCCTATTTTTTCCAAAATAAAATTTAGCCTATGTTACTCGTGGATAATGTAGCTTTCGAATGGTGAAAGAATTTCTAACAGTCCAGTAGTTTTTGAGCCTATTCATTACAACCAAACAAACAAACAAAGTTTTCCTCTTTATAATATTAGTGTAGATACTCGTAATAATAGAAAACTAAAATCAGTGTTTGTATTTACAAATTGGAAGGGAATAATTTTGATAGAGTTCTTCAAATAAAATAAGTTTCAGACCTCTGAATCTTTTGTGACGACCTTAAAAAGTTAGCAACGAAATTACCAACAAAACAATAATAATATTAAAATGCTCAAACTTAAATTAACTTTACTCATAAATCCGAGAAATAATTATATTGTGAGTCAATCGTTATTTCCATTTGGCCTCAAGAGTTAATTGAAATGCACGTTCGTGAATAAAATGAGGTTTTACTGGGAACTACAAGGAAATAGAAATAACCATGTTTATAACGAAAGAAGCATTTTTGTTTTTACTGCAGTTTCTAATGGTGGACATGTTAACACATGAGAAACGTGAGTACCAACATTTAAATTTTTCTTGAGGTCAAAGAAAACGGTAGAATGCCTTTATTATTATTCCAAGGGCTAGGGTCTTGAGGTTTTTCACATAAATTGGATGTGCTCGTCGAGCTTGTCACTAGGACCTACAAATGGTAGTATTTTTGCGTCTGTGTTAAAGCAGAGGGCCGTGCTTCTCCACGATCAGCTGAATGATAAATGACCATGGACTGGAAGACGTTGTGTATTTAGGCCTCCCAATCGGTGAAGATAGCAGAAAGCACCTGGATGCGGGCAGCGCAGGATGGTCTTTGTGAAAATCCTTGGTGGAAGCTTTTGAGCTACATGGGACATCTTTTGGCTGAAACGAAGACGTGCTCCTGTAAGGCTAAATACCCTGATGATAAGAGCTATTTTGATGACGTGTTCCTGCAGCTTAGTGGCTATATGGTCTGTAAATGATATACCGCCGTGATTATATGCTTTGTCGAAGTGCTCCTGCAGTGGAGACTATATTATGACCTGATGATGATATGATTCTTCGTCGCTACACTTTTTCCAAAGTGGTCGTGGTCATCACACCCGGCCCAGTGGCGAGCCGTGTGGGAGAAATGGCGACGGATTGTGAAATCCGCATTTCTCCCGCACTGCAGCCTTTCTTTTGCACTCGTGGAGTGGACCATTGAGTGCGGTTTTGACCTGGTCAGTCCAGCGCATGGGCGACCTGCCGCGCGCTCTTGTGCCCTTAACCTTCTCTTGCACGACAAGTCGTTCAACAGAAGCGACGTCTCGACGTGTAATATGACCAAAGAAAGAGAGAAGATATGATGACATAGCCGGATTAGCAAGCTGAAGTGGCAATAGGCAGGGCACATAGTACGCAGAACTGACGGCCGATGGAGCAGCAAGGTTCTGGAGTGGAGGCCGCGTACCGGAAAACGCAGCGTGGGACGTCCACCCACAAAGTAGACCGACGACATCATAAAGGTAGCAGAAAGGCGTTGGACGCAGGCCGGTACCAACCGGGCAATATGGAAAGCATTGGGGGAGGCCTATGTTCAACAGTGGACGTCCTATGGCTGAGATGATGATTTTTTTATGTGGCTGGAGGCAAACGTGCAGACGGTGATGATAATGATGATGATGACATGAGTATATAAGTCAACAGTTCATGTATTTCTCAGCGGTGACCGAGCTGGTGTGGAAAGGGCGCTGCACACAGCACCCGCGCGTGCTCAACGACTGCAACTGGTGCCGCTGCAACCGCAAGCACGAGTACACGTGCGATGCGCGCAACTGCAGCGAGGTTGACGTCTTTGGACACTTCAATGGTAAGAATTTGATGACTAGACATCGGATGATACACTATCCAAATTCCAAACATGCGTGCATGGGCGAAACCTGCATGTTTTCTCAGATTTGTGACAAGTCTTCTTCTTTGCCTGGCCCATTCCCATTTTATTTGTGGTCGGCTTTCCTTATCATGCGTCTTCATGCGGCTTGGTCCTGCCTGGGTCGTCTCTCTGTGGACTTGTGACAAATATAATTTAATATTTTCCTAGATTTTCTAGGAAACACTGATGGTGGAGGACCGGTCCCATGACCTTTGGTGCTGTTTTGTGAAATAAAAAGAGAATGGTGTATGTTTTCGTGTCAGTTATTACTTTTCCCTGATAAATCATTCCAATTCTATTTCTAAGAACACTAAGTAGGTACCTGCCTACACTGCCTAGTGTCTTTCAGTGTACTCCTTCAAAAACTTTTTACGAAACAATTACCTATACTTACTAAATAGAATCTGTTAAACTCACTTTACATAGATGCCATCCGCGAAATGAACGTGGGCATGGAAGGCCATGGATCCTGGAGGTCAACTCAGCTAGCCTGCGAGCCAGGAGTCCAGTACCGACGGAAAGGCCTCCTTTGCGTCTGCACAGAAGACGGCACCTGGCCCAATCCAGTCTGCAGGGACATCTTCAGGATCCTACATTCTGTTGAAATGACTGACGAAACTGAAGCCGCAGGCCAGAAGTGCTCCGCAACGAAATTGTACTTAGTCGGCTGTAATGTCTGCTTGTGCCCCTCAACACAACGACTCGACCCTGAATATTGCACTAGGAAGATATGCCCAGAAAATGATCCGATACTACAAGGCAATAGACAGAAGAAAGAAAACTTCGAATCAGATGACCAAGCCATAGAGATCTACGCGGAGTGTCAATCAGATTACAAGTACAAGTTGGGCTGCAAAACCTGCAGTTGCTTAAGAAACAATAGGCTCCATTGTGGGAACTGCACAAATGAAAATGAGAGTGTCCAAACATTCTGCAGTCACATCAAACCCGGTCAAACTTTTAGTCGAGATTGCAATTTGTGCTACTGTGACAAAAAGGGCTTCGCATACTGCACTTCTAAGAAATGCTTGGAAGGTAAAGTAAAATTATTCACCCAGGACATTTTTAACAAAACCGAAGTGGAGAGCTACGATTCATTTAATGAAGAAAACTGCATCCCAGGACGCAACTACAGGCAAGGCTGCAACCAATGCTACTGCTATGTAGAGAATGGCACGAAATTATTTGGGTGTACCCTAAAAAATTGTGCTAGATCTGCGAATCCAGTCACTACCATGCATTTGGACTGTGTTGACGGTACAGTCTATGAACTCAACTGTCTTATATGCCACTGTATTGAAAAGCGTGGGGTCAAAACTCAGCTGTGCCAGGTGAATCCTAAATGTACTGATCAGAACGCTGTCAGGGAATCCAGGTCGAACGATTTGGATTCTTTACATGGTTATTGTGAGCCGTTACATGTTTATAAAAAGGATTGTAATACGTGCCACTGCCTTTCTGATGGGAAGACGGTGAGATGTACGTCTTATGTATGTGGCAAGTCATCTTTAGAGCCAGTGGCTGTGGACATAGTGCCAGTCACACAGAAAGGTAGGGCATGTCCCAAGGGGCTGTCGTATAAGATAGACTGCAACTATTGCTTCTGCCTATCAAATGGGAATGCGATATGCACGACTGCTGATTGCACGGGAAAGAAACGAAGTAAAAAGAATTAAAATAAATGTGAAAATTCCATTTCTGTAATTGTTTTTTCTCTTGGGTACTTTTTATGATATTGTGAGTTCCCATTTAATAAATCTGAATTTCTTGTATCTACCACTGAATAATCCTTCCTTACTGTATACAGTATACATATTAAATGGGAAAGTTTGTGAGGATGGATGGAGAAGGTTGTTGCTTTTCGATGCAAAAACTATACTGAATAGACGTTGATATTATAATAGTTTATTGCCAATCGATTATTTTTTTTTTTTTTAAAGTTCATCCCCTGGTTTTTGAGTGAACCTTGTAGAGCCTTGTTGTTATTAATGAAGGTAGTGTTATTGGGACTATTTCAGTTATTAAAAACTACTGAAAACTCAAAGAAAGATTTTCCATGGCTGCTGCATGAAAAAAAAAGTTTGACTCGTGAAGGATTCGAACCTCCGCCCTCCGAAGGATATGGCAAGTATCTCGGCGCTCTTACCTACTGAGCTAACGAGTCCTGTTGGAAACGGGTGGAAAAGGGATACCTATTCGTCACTATGCATTTTGCATGCAGCAAAATAGCCTTTATTGCAATGAGATACGACGCCACCGAGTTGTGCTGTACAAAGTAGGTCGTAAGGTCATAGCCACTAGATTCATATTATTTTCCCCGCATGAAACTTCATGAAAACGAATAGAACTGCCTACATTTTATCTTACCTAGATAGAGGCACAGATAGAGGTCAAAGCTGTAGAAATCGCTAAATTGTAAACTTTGTGCCCTTACTAAAAATGAACTTGTTTTAAAATGAGGTTGTAATGGAATGTAACTTTGAAAAGCTATCTTTAAGCCTCAGTGCCATAGGTTTATTAGATTAAAAAAATCTCATATTTAGACCGTTAGCAATAGTTTTGCGTGACCGTTTAGTGAATTAAAAAAACATCAGAAAATTTTTAATCACACTTATTATTGGTGCAAAGCATTTTATTATTCTTCAAACAAAAACAAGTGTTACAGTTTTCGGTTTTTACGGATCCTGGAGTACAGTCGTCGTCCTTACCGATCGTCACCATGGACTTCCTCAAAGCCAACTTAAAAACTTTGTCCAGAACCATGGGTAAGTTTATCTTTAGTTGCTGTCCTAAATCTTCCAGATTCTTCAATGAAACCCGGGGAGGGATCTCAAAAGGCTTATCCCTTTGAGTTGCAATTGGTATCTTTAATCCCGGGTCCACCTCATTGCCAGAATCATTTCCTTCTTCTTCGTTTTCCCTCTTTTCAGGTGTTATTTGTCTTGATTCTTTACTATAAAGTTGGTAATCCTCTTGAAACGGTATCTGAGTTACTTGAGGAGTCCCTTCAGCTTTTCCATCGTATTCGAATTTCTCATCTGCAGACTCTATGGAAGACGATTCTTCGTTGTGAGTGTCATACCTTTCTCTTATAATAGGTTTCTCAAATGTTTCCTTGTTTTCATGGTTGACATCAATCACAATGTTACTGTTTTCAGTAACAGCAGTAGGCCGTGGTATGGTGCTTGGTTTAGAACTTGTTCCTTTATTTACAACGTTCCACGTACCTTCGCCTTGTCTCAAAGTCTTATCAGAGTCAGGTATGAGTTCAATTGCTTCTTTTATGAGATCTTTGCCGCAAACGCTCAAGTTATAAGTACCCAGTTGAAGTTTTTTGGTGTTATAGTTTCCAGTATTACAAACTAGTTTATTTTCGTTCAAGCAGAAACAGAACTGACAAGGAGCTAGTGAATACCAGTTCTTGGCTTCACAATTTCCGTAGACATTACTGGCTTTGGAGGATCGTCTTTCAGGAGATTTGTCGCCGCATTCGTTTTTGGTGCATCTGCTTTTGTCGATGTAGCCTTTGGAGTTGCATCTGCAGACGTTGCATCCAACGAAGGCATATCCATCAGGTTCACATCTAGTTTTGATGACGTCTTTCAGCGGTAAGGAGCTGAAGGCATCTGCGCAAGCGATGTGAGGCCAAGTACCGTTGTAGTTACAGATGCAAGTTGTACTTTCATGGACGTATATCTTGTTAGGCTGGCAAGCTGACTTGGCAGGTCGTTTGGTTGGTTGATTTTTGGGATTCTTTTTAAGTTGGCACTCGTAGACGTAATTCTGAGTGCATGTACACGTTACTCGTCCGTTCTGTACTACATCGCCTATTTCACATGAGTGGATCGATTTTTGATTGTCTAAAAAGAAAATATGAAGAAAAGTATGATATAAAAATAATGTAGAAATAACAAACCGGAAAACGCAGCGTGGGACGTCCACCTGCAAGGTGGACCGACGACATCGTAAAGGTAGCAGGGAAGCGCTGGACGCAGGCCGCTACCAATCGACCAACGTGGAAAGCATTGGGGGAGGCCTATGTTCAGCAGTGGACGTCCTATGACTGAAATGATGATGATGAAGATGATGATGTATAAATAACAAAGTTATGTTATAGAACTCCCTCTTAAAGTAGGGTCTCAGTTTCACAGGGCTTGTCATTCAATAATTTGATGGTAAATACGAGTATTCTTCTACGAGACTGACTTTTTTTCCTACATTATTTTTTAAATTATATTTTTACAAAAGTTAAGTAAGTATACCCTAGTTTATTCTTATTTTGTCAAAAACTTTGCTGATTTCTGTCCTATTTTTTGTGTGATTATTTGTCTGTATATCAAAATTGTTTGTTTCCCTAATATAAATAAAAAAAAAAACTTGGATTTCAAGACTTACCGACAAAATTAAACGGAGTGATAATTGAGATCAGAGTGGCAATCAGTAAAACGAAAACTTCCATCGTTCCTAATCACCGATTTTAAAATGGTCAAACGGTGCAATATGATTTGCTCCATTTAATTAATTAGTTCACTCGAAGCATGTGATTTTATTACAAAAACAAAAGCTGATTGAACATTAAATCGATTGTTAATTGAATTTCATTAAAGTCGTTCTCAGTGGCCTTAATTCACGTTTGACAGTCAAGATCTCGCTGATGTTCAGAAGTCGTCCCATTGAAAGAGTTCTATAGAACTTCATTTTCGATAGAACGATTACTCGATGACGCTACAGAAGTCATTGCCTTTGAGATTTCCTACTTTGTAATATCACCATCATCATAATCATCATCATCATCATCATCATCATCATCATCATTTCAGCCACAGAAGTCCACAGCTGAACATAGGCCTCCCCCAATGATTTCCACATCGCCCGCTTTGTAGCGGTCTGCATACAGCGCCTTTCGGCTACCTTTATGAGGTCGTCGGTCCACCTTGTGGGACGTCCCACGCTACGTTTTCCGATACGTGGCCTCCACTGTAGTTACTTTGTAAATTTAATCATAACTTGGAAAAAAAATATAGGCCGTATACTCGCTCCCGGTTTCTGAATTGAATTTTTTAGCTTGAGCTTTGCTTTTAGCTTGCTCATTGTCTCCATATATGCCTATTTTTATAAGCTTGGTCGTTTACTTAAGTAGACTTTACTAGGGTTCACTTAAAAAGTGAAATGAGCACACTCAAACTCTAAATCGAAAATGCACAAACCGCCCCTAAATCTAATAGGGTGTACTTATTTATACTGTACCAGGGTTCACATAAAAGTAAAATGAACATACTCAATCTCCAAATCGAAAATTCACCAACAGCACCCAAATCTAATAGGGTGTGAATGGAAATAAAACTTCGTAATATAATTGATAACTATAATTCAAGAATAATTCGACTAAAACAACACACGCCCGTCATCTTATGAAATAAACACAATAAAAGAAAACAATATCACTTAACACTCACGCAAGAGTTTCTTTGTTGTTCATATTATTTACCCCCTTGCTCATAAAACAGTTCTAAAAAACATGGGAACATCAGGCCTCCTCAACCCGTCTTGCCAACGTAGTGAATGTAGGACAAATCCTCCAGTTGCTTCTGGTAAATTAGACAGGGTCGTGCGCGGGCGCCTCAGTGAAGACTAATGCCCATTTTCACCATCAATCTCTAATGTTTAAGTGACCCCTATGTAAACAAAATTCCTGTTATTTTGTTACTATAGGAGTCACTTAAAAATTAGGGATTGATGGTGAAAACGGGCATAAATGACCCATGATTGATGATAATAAACTACAATCAAGTTGGTCTCTTTTTATAATGTAGTAAAGTTCATATTTCACGGACTCATTCTAAAACCTTTTAATTGTTTTATGAGTAAGAGGGCTTTAACAAATACTTAATGTTGATTTTACTTTTAAAACAGATTTGAATTTCACTCAACTTTCATGATTACAACATCCTGAAGTGTTCGAAGGAATTAATTTTGTGCACTATCTACATTACTCAAAATGTAATCTATACTTATAATAAATCTGTAGAGAGGTCAATTCTGTACATGAAATATATTTTCAAAATAACTATCAGGGGGTGATTAGTGATCGATACTGATGCCAAAAATGCAATCAGTAAAATTTTTGTCTGTCTGTCTGTCTGTCTGTCTGTCTGTCTGTCTGTCTGTCTGTCTGTATGTTCCTTATAGAAACAAAAACTACTCAACGGATTTTAACGAAACTTGGTACAATTATTCTTCATACTCCTGGGCAGGTTATAGGATACTTAGGAATTCCCACGGGAACGGGAATTAGCGGGAAAATCCTTTTGTATGTAAAATCTAAACCGCTTAAGTTAGACGCTTGAAATTTGGCATGTAGGCACCTTAGTAAACTTAGAGCTTAGTTACAACAAGGAATTCCCGAAATTCCCACGGAAACGGTAACAAGAGGGAAAATCCTTTTGTATGAAAAATCTAAACTGCTTAAGTTAGACGCTTGAAATTTGGCATGCAGGTACCTTAGTAAACTTAAAGCTTAGTTATAACAGGATATTGCAAAATTCTTACGGGAACGGGAGTTAGCGGGAAAAAACATTTGTATGAGAAAATCTAAGCCACGTAAGATAGACGCTTGAAATTTGGCATGCAGGTACCTTAGTAAATTTAAAGCTTAGTTACAACAGGATATTGCAAAATTCTCACGGAAACGGGAGTTAGCGGGAAAAAACATTTGTATGAAAAAACCTAAACCGCGTAAGATAGATGAGGGGGGGTAAAACGGGATCCACGCGTACGAAGTCGCGGGCGGCCGCTAGTTAAAAATAATACTCGACTGTCTACTGTACAACTTTTAATTTTAAATGTGAAATATGAGGTAAAAGTAATTGACAACAGACGAAAAGCGACTTGTATTTAAAACACAAATTAGTTAGCATCAAAATATTTTATAAAATAGGGCTGCCAACTTGCCTCAAGCTTTCAAGATTAAAATTTATTTTCTAAGATTTAAAAGTCACTTTGCTGACTTACATTTAAAGTTCACGTTTTAATAAAAATTACATTTAAATTATTGGCAACCCTATGTTCAGAAAGATCTCATATTATCAACAATTAACACTCAAGAATCAATCATCAAAAATAGTTTTTCATTACCAACTTTAAAATTAAAGAAACATACATTTTGAGACACATTTGAGGAAATGTTCCATTTAAAATTGTAATTACACACATTTAATTTTAATTAAACTCAATAAATTTAAAATACAGTTGTATTTTTGCATTCATAAATTAATAATTAAAATAAGTATTTTACATAATAATTAATATTTCATTAAAAATATAGAAACTGAAGAACATTATTTGGTATGATATTCGTTTCAAAATTTTCTAATTTAGAATAGAGACTTGAAATGCAGATGTAAACGAAAGAAAATCGTGTAGTTCATTAAAAATGTCTTCTCTTTCTCTACCAGCATTGTAGCAGTGAGAGAAAAGGAGAACGGACGGCTTTAAAAGGCCTGTGTAAAGCCCGGTCTCTGAGCACGTAGAATTTTGTCCAATGACCCCAAGCTTCCCATCCCTATCGCTTGCGCGCAATTATGTTGCCGTTGCGCTCGCACACTCACTGCGGGCGCTCGTCGCATAGTCGCGACAGCAATATAATTACGCGCGAGTGATAAGGATGGGTAGCTTAGGGTCATTGGACAAAATTTTACGTGCTCGGCGATCAGACTATAGTATAGGTCGAGCGCATAACTCAGCCTGAGGTATCGGAGTGGTACGGGAGTGAGTTTTTTGTTACGTCAAATGTCAGCGAGACTTTTTTAAATCCACAACGAGAAAGCTCTTGGCCTGTATCTCACCTGATGGTAAGTGATGATGAGGCCTAAGGTGAAAGCGAGCTTCATCCGGAATCCTCAACCACGGAGGAACTGGCTATCTTACCTCTAATCCGGAACACAATAATGCTACTAACATTGTTGTTATGGCGACAGACTTAGGTAAGATGGTGGTAGCTAGCCAGGCGGACTTAGAACAAGCCCTACCACCAACCAAACCGAACAGAAAAATCTGCCCCCACTGAGAATCGAACCCGGGACCTCTGCGTCTGAAGCAGGTAGTCTTACCACTAGACCACAGAGGCGACTTCAGGTTTGCATGCTCTGTCATGTCATAATATGTCAAAATCACCCTTCCCATGGCGTTCTTAAACCTCAGACACTAACTGAGTAAAGCCTATAACTATCATATTGACAAGTCTTTAGTTAAACTTAACCATTTCTAAATTAGCTAACTTTGATACATTTCTATTGAATACTATGGAATTATTTAGTAATATTAAACTATTTGTCCGTTCTATGTCTTACCCGCGACTATTTTACTTCAATATAGCACCAGCATGAGATATTAAGCTAGAAAGATCAAAATTTGAGACTATTTGTAAGGCAGAGTCGTGAACAATTAAGAGTCTCCTGTAAAGTTCTGAACTTAGCATCAATCTGTCTGTCATTTTGTTTTCTAGAGCTCCATAATCGTAAAGTAGTAAGCTAAATCTTTATTTAGTTTAATCTTTTTAATAGAGTGGAATTCCCTATGTTTCTGAACTTTACAACCTTAAGGCATTAAAGGCACTAGTCTCTTCATCCTAGATTCTTCCCTTTTCAGTTGTTTTCCTTTATCCACAATGAATAAGCTCTTGAGCTGCATCTCACCTGATTTCAGAATTACCTAATAACATTTTTGGACTCACAGCGAACGCTACCTACTCCAAAAATGATATCGAATCAACAGGAAAGTCAAAACAAGAAACGACAAATTCCAACTTATGGAAGAACAAAAATACAACAAATACGAGCTCACGGGAGACCCTTAATGACCCTATCCTAATAATTGTTTAAGTACCTAGTTATGTATTACCTATTTGTGCAGAATCGCATGCGTTTGCCTACGTAATATTTTGACCTAAATAGTGTCGAACCTCGAAATGCCTTTTAAATTATAACATTAGGATCCTTCAGGCTGTCCACTGAAATTTGTGAATACAGAACATACAAAAACTGACATCATAAAGGTAAGTTTCATTTAATAAAGACCATCTCTAAATAATGTTGGATTCGTACTTGTTTCGATTGAAAATAAAGATAAGCCCTCCTAGACAAGTGGCGAAACGTAAGAGTTGTAATATCGAAAGGCCTTAGCTCCGGTGTTTTTTGTGTGGAGTTACATCGCTCCGTGAAAAGATACGATGTGCCACTTGTCTAGGCCTACAGAGCTACTCCGTAACGCCGTTTTTCATAGTTTTGGTTCTATCTGTCACTGTCGCTCGAACAAACATCAGCTTGTTGCGAGAGGCATGGACACATTCAACTTCAGTAGGCCTAAGAAGATGCGCGCCGCGATAAGCGGTTTGTCTTCAATTGCAATTTTGACGTCGATAAAAGTTATCACGGCGCGCATCTTAGGCCTACATGTGACGTTTTTGGGAGTAGCCTCTCCAAACTTGATTGCTAGTATCCATTCAATCTATGAATGAAGATAAGCCTTCGAAAAATCTGTTTTCAATCCAAATCCGACATTATTTTCTACATTGAGATAATCTCTATTGCACAATGAAATCACAACAAGGCAAGGAGTTTGTAAGTTTTCATGTTCTATCTAGCGGCCAGCCTTAGGATTAGTTCTACATAAAATTTGAACACTGACATTCATCACAATTCACAACATTTGCGCGTGTTTTAACCCTCGAAGAAAAAGAAACAGACAGGTTTTTTTTCAACATGATGCAGAAAGATATATTCTTCTTCATCATCATTCCATCTTGGTGACAAATAAATTCTTCTTCATTATCATTACAAAGTAGGTTGAGTTTTTTCACTACCAGGGTGTCTTAAGCGGTAGCGCATTTTCTTACATAACTTTTCAATTCCTATCATTGGAGGTCCGAAAATATTTCTCATACAATTTGATACCATAATGATCATTCTTCATAAAAAATTTAAAACCTACATATTTAAAAACATAATCATTGATGTTCATAATATCACTAATCATACACTTAGTTTTTAATAATATTTTTTTTCATATATTTTTCTATACTAATGATCAAAACTCATAAACATTCGAATAAATAACTATAATATTCATAAATGTGATGTATCCTAATATTTGTTTTCATAAATTTATTACTCATAAGTGTATTTATCCATATTATTGAAAATCATGATGTCTATATTCGTATTAAATCGTATTTTAACATTAAATTAATTTGAAATGGTCCAAAACAGGCAATATTTTGTGCCACAAAACTAACGTGACAGAAACGAATCGCTGCAAAACCGACTCCACGTAGTCTTGTCTGCCCTACCCCTAGAGTGTAATTTAAAAGCCGGAGGCGCGGAGGGAGGGCAGCCCTCGCCCGCTGTAACGAGGCTCAGGCGCCCGGGCGAGCTGGAGCGGCTGAGGCTGGTCGCCGAGGCGCCGAAGGCGCCGATGGCGATCCAAAAAGCCGAAGCTGCGGAAGCAAGCGTGGGTGCCTGAGCCTCGTTACGCAAGGGCGGAAGGGCTGCACATCCCGCAGCGCCGGAGACGAGGAGATACCAATGCATGCTGCATGCTTGCTTTCATGCTGCATGCTCTGCATGCTTATCTACTCTATTAAATTATATATGTTTTTTTTTAAGATACGAGTATGTCTGTTATAAAGTGAATTATTCTGAACAACAACATTATGAGTTGAAGTATGTTCTTAGTAACAACATTATTAATTAAAACAATATGGTCAATGAATGTTATGAAGAAAAAAATCTGAAAATAAAAATTATGTATTTTAAATGGTTCTTGGTAGTAACAGTATTGATAAAAAAAATATGATTACTAACTGTTATGAGCTCCGATGGTAGTAATAAAAATGTATGAATAAAAAAAGTATGAAAAATAAAATTATGAAGAGAGATTATTATGAACACAAATCGGTAGTAAGACAAAGAATAGGATTTAGAATTTTATGTGAGCCAATATAGAACCGTCTTAAGCACTTAATAATATTTATTAATTTTAATATTTAACCAGTGGCTCCTCATCTCCAATGGATGAACCTTATATTGATTTAGAATTTTCAATGTTTATTCGCTTTATAGTCATCGGTGGTAACTCTCTCCCCTTACTGTATTGTATCACTTTTTAATTCTTTTTCTTCGAGAATCAATAACACTTCAGAATTAAGACTTAACTACTAATAAAAGAGTCTACAAGCATTTACTTGTGAAACTTCTAGTTTGATGAAGCTAGGCTGAAGACTTAGATTAGGCCATCTCATTTTACCTAATACATTGGGCGTACCTTTGGGGTCTTCCAAATAAAAAGGTTATTAGACCAAGCTAGGGCCTTTTCCCACGAAGATACTTATCCCGCTTTTTCGGAATCCCGTTTATTCCCGAATTTCAAATTCTAACGTTTAGGAATTTGGCGGGACACAGCAAACAAGATGTTAGGGTGGATGTTAATATTAAAACACGTATTAAATACTAAACGAGATTCTGAAAGAAACGGGATTTAAGAGCAATTAGTTAGTGTGAAGTTTGCTTTTCAAAAGGTCTTATTTGGAAGAGCCTAATATTTGTACCTTTACAATCTTTAGTTCATAAAACCACCCGATTAACGAAGTTCGAAAAGCCCTGAAGAAAAGCTAAGAAGAAAAAAAAGCCTAGCTTCATCAAATCCAGAAACACTTCTAACTTGAAGTCTGATCGACCCTTCTTGTGTGACCCTTTTTCAGATATTTGTCCTACCTACATCTTGACCTGGAAAAATGTGCTAAAATTCTGAAGATTCTTCTTAGTAGTTAGGTAGTTAGTAGCTGAGAAATTAGTATTTTTTCGTTCTGTATCTTTTTATTTACTGTGTTGTATGTGACTGTGCTGTAAATTCTCAAAACAATATTATCCATATCCATATTACCTACATAGTAACTACAGCCCGGTCGAGTTAACAAACCTCGTTGGAATGCGACTCCCTCACACACTGCTCGGTTCGTACCAGAGCGTCGATGGGACGTCACGGCCACCAGGTGCGAAGTTAACTCAACCAAGTTGTAATAAAATTGCTTCTCCAAAATTGCTGTTTCATCTCAGAAGATTTTAAGTAGCTTATAAATAAGTTTCTCCAGCTCAATCCTTATTCCTAAAAAAGAGTCTCACAAGACCTAACCAGGATCATCAACAGCTTACGAGAAGCTGTCGTTGACTTGTCTGCAGCACCGGATGAAGGTGGCCCTTCTGGGGAGTTCCCTAAGGTGCGCCGCCCCCACGTAGGTGCACGCCGACCGAAGTCCTCCTAAGATGTCCTTTACGGTTGCCGCGACGTCCCCTCTGTATTCGACTTCTACGGTTTTACCTGGAAGAGGAGAACGTTTATTAGGGACATTTTATCCCATTTAGGTTGGGGCCAGGCCTTAGCGTCTTTCACCCATTGGAATATGAAGCACATATTTCAAGTCGAAGGGTTCATTTCCCCGAAGTTCTATTAACTAGATAAATTATCCTCCTGAATGAAAATGACTCCTTCTCGCCAGCGTATCGTGTTCACATAGATGGCTTCTTCTACCAAATGTGTGATTCTAACAACCCTTTTTTTCGTGCGGTATGCTGTCGGCAAATCACATCGGCAATTCTTCCGCTGTTGCCAATATCATTGATTTGATTAATTGACGATGATTGCCTACCATCAAGTAATCCTCGAGCTCGCTAAAAACCCTCACCTTCCGAAGACCGGTAATCCGCAATCCCTCCAGAGTGCTTCAGCATGGCCGTCGACGAGGACATGCCATAGAACAGCTTGACCTTCCTCCCGTCAGCTGTGGTCACCACGTCGCCTCCGCACTGGTCATGACCAGCAAACATTCCGCCAGCCATCACGAAATCCGCGCCCGCGCCAAAAGCTTTAGCCACGTCGCCGGGGCAGGTGCAGCCACCGTCCTGGAATCAGGAAACATTTTATTTGCTGGAATACTGTACTTACAATGACGTAGACAACGGGACTATTCCCACCTCTCGTTCCCNTCCGTGCAAGTTTGGACTTGTTACAATCTATAATATCTAAGTAACAGTTCTGCCTGCATGAAAATGTAATTTGATAAGTAATAACTCCAAAAAAATCTACGGAAGTTGCTGCTGCACACAGGTGAATGGTAAACGTCGTCAAGTTAGAAAAAAAACGTGCCGGTAGGGAACTTTCATGATATGTTTAATTACTGTTTTAGCTACTTTACGTAATGTTTTTGGCACGTATGTCTAATTATTAGCATAATAAACACTATTTTAAGGGTTTATTAATTAAATATTCGGTGAGTAAACATCTTTTTTATTTTCTCTCGTTGCGGGTGTTTGATAAAATCGGCCCGCGCCAACCGAGGTGGCGGGTCGACCGTAAGCGCGCTGCGTCAGCGGTGCGCGTTTCCATTGCGCCCGACTATAAACTCGTCCGTCATGCCTCTGTTCAACGATCAACCCGTCGCACTATGGAGCGAAATTGCGATTTATGGACATAGCGATTTTTTCACAATTTCTATTTGAAAAAAATACCTATCGATAGGTTACGTTATTCTGATGAATAAATGCTGCACAAGTTTTTCTCTAAAACCAATAGTTTGACTGGAAAAAAATATTTTCCATTTTCGTTGTATGGAATGAAACATAAAGTGGTCGATTTCGACTAAGCCTTAACAGATCTTGCTTTGAAACTACTTGAACCTTGTTCTATGGCTTGTTGACTGTAATCCTACGCTATCAGCGCGCATCCAAAGTTGCCCGTTCACAAGTTATGAGGTTCTGAAAAATTAAAAAAAAGTAAGTAAAAGTGGCTTTTTTTTTAAATATCTTTAAAGATTTAACAAAAATATAAAGATTTTATACGTTAATAATGTCAATATGGTCATGTTGCGAAATTTTGCACGGAAAAATCTAGCTGTTGTGGGTATTGCGCCGAGGCCCACGATACGAAAGATTGTATTAAAAATACCGCCAAAGACTTTAAGCCAGTTTGCGCGGCATGTAAACGTTTTAAAAAACCAAACGACCATTTAAGCGGTTCGCCCGACTGTCCGAGTTATAAGGCAAAATTAGAACAACTAATATTAAATACTGTTTATGGCTAAAGTCTCCATAGGCCAATTAAACCTCCATAACGATAAAATTGCTACGTTGGAGTTGGACAGACTTATTGTAGAATACAACTTAGATTTCGTGTTAGTACAAGAACAATATCAGCGTGTCGGCGTGCGCTGCAAAACTATTCAAATTAATAACAGTGCACGCGCCGGTATCTATGTGTCACGCGCGTCTACACTCACAATAACGTCTATTGCCAACCTTTCTTCGTCGCATTGCGCTGTTGCGGAAGTATCCTCCCCATCCTTCTCCATATTTGTCGTGAGTTGTTACTTTCAATATTCTGACCCGGTTGGGCCTCATCTACACCACAATGACGTAGACAATTAAATTCACTTGGAATCGTGTTCAAAGGTGGACAACTGCGGGGCTTCTACCAGAGACAGAATACGAAGTTCATTTGGTATGTTTCCATCACTCTCATGCAAAGAGATGACAGCGTGAGTGATAGTGACATTGTAGATCCGAAAATATATTAACGGCCTCATGGAATAACCCTACTGCTTCTGTACGCCCTTCTTATTTGAGCTTAAATTCACAGTGAATTCAAATTCAAACGCGCGTTGGTACTCGCTGATAACCAGCTATCGCAGTATGATCTTATGTCACCATGTTACGTTTTAGTTGAGTGCCCCTTCAGCATACCTCAATAAATTTTAAAAATGTCTGTTAAATGCTGAAAAAAGTTATTCCTATTATTAGGTTAAACATAAGCGTAAGGAAACGTACTCTACTGCCACTCTAGTCATACACTTTTGGAGTTTCTTCAATAGAAAGAGAAAGAGAGAACCAGTGAGAACTTACAGAAATAATGTGTCCCTTGAGCCCGTGAGCGGCGTCCGCGCACTCGATGACGGCAGACAGCTGCGGGTAGCCCACGCCCGTCTTGATGCGGGTGGTGCACACGGAGCCCGGGCCGATGCCCACCTGTGGGACGATATTACATTAGATTTCTGTCAAGATGGCAATAGCCATGCTGTTGGGATACAATCCGATCGATCCCCGTCTAACGCTGCATGAAGTTTTTTGGACTAGTCCAGTTATGCAGGAAACGAATCGACAACCAGTAGAAACGACATACGATCTGATATCTAAACCGTAGAGGGATTGTCGCCTTATTCTTCACTAAAATGGACTTATAAGCTAGCTAGTGAGCTAGTACCTGGAGTTAACTGAGCCAAAATTATTTCAAACTTAAAGGTAAGTACGTGTAGGAATTACCTATAGTCCTATAGAATCATGTGTAATAATAAATTATTACGAACCTTTATAATGTCAGCACCAGATAGAATGAGTTCTTCTACCATTTCTCCAGTTACAACGTTGCCAGCCTGAAAAATGAATACAACTAAATAACTACAAGTCTGTTAATATATTCGCACTCAATAATGATGATGACGATGATAATAATAAAGAAGATGATGATAAAGATTGTGATGATAATAAAGATGTTGATGATGATCTTTTAAAGACTCACGATAATGGTATGCGTAGGATACGCCGCCCGCACCCTCCTGACGTACTCCACAAAGTGTTGCGAGTAGCCGTTAGCGACGTCAAGGCACACGAACTTCAGCTCTTTCACGTTGTTCAGGATCTCTGAGAGACGCTCGAAGTCGGCTTCGGCAGTTCCTGAACTGGCCGCTAGAAAAGACACAAGAGCTCCTTAAAGAAAGTGCTAATAATAATATTTTTTGCTAAGAACCGGTGGCTGGTTTAACAGATTATTATGGGAAAATCCATGTGCGATCCAAACACTAGAAACTCGATCTTTATGCATAGATGAAGTCTGTGATTGGTTAATGCAAATTTTTGGATTAAGTACTTATCATACTATTGGTATACGCTTGTGTTCTTTGGCGTAACATATTACAAGACTATGTTTAGTTTTTAGTTTCGTAATAACCTGTATCACAGTCCACAGATTACTAATAAGTAACTCCTGTATTTACACTGCTCTCAACTTGTTTGTTAATTATTCCTTTAAAATCTTTAAAACTAAATGTCCTTAATAATTAAAAATAGTTACCCATAAAACCCCCTAAGATAAGGGTGAATATCAACAAACTCGTTTTTTGCCTAATTCCGGTGGCGAATTTTAATTTCCACTTTCCAAAACTTTTTTGTGGCAGAAATAATAGTAAATAACTTGTATTATTCAATGATATGGTAGAGATCAAAATATTATTAATACTTCTCGAGATATGTCAATTTGAAATTATCAAGAGCCACCGAAATTGTATTTGAGCCACCGGAATTAAGAACCAATCCACCGAAATTTATTTAAACAGCGGACTTCGGAATGTTACGGATGATTGTCTCAAATTACTTATTTATTTGTAATCAATTAAGTTCATGTTAAAGAATCGTTTAGCATCTAAGTAAGTAGCTTTCACTCATACACTTGCCAGCGAAATTGAAAAATTTTGTATTCCTGTGCCGCTGATACAAATATTTACGGGTCTGCTGGAAAAACAATACCACAAGTCGCAAGTCTTTATAGCCCGATCAGGAGGACACAGTTGAGTGATGCAGGGAAGAAGAACTCTACGTCTCTCAAAGCTTCTTTGGAGAAGTAAGAGAGTGTCGAAATTGAGCCACTGTAATTGCTTTTTTTTGTGGGACAGTTTTGAAAGGCTATTTAAAACACTTAAAATATGAAATATCACATTTCTTTCATATCATTTGGAAGTCTTATTTAATGTATTTTATGGCTATACTATTTTTAAATTACTAGAATCCCCGAGAAAGAAGGAATAACACAATTTATGAGTAGAAATAGAGTTAGGACGCGCCACCGCTATTAGATTTTGGGTCTTTGAAAATTTTTTTAGTACATAAAATAACTACCTATTGTCCTGAAGACTTTGCTATCGTGTAAAACGCTGTATAAACTATATACAAAAAAAAAAATCATCGCTCTAGTTACATTTCTCCCATCGATTCTCAGCTCCGCCGCGTAAAAAACGTGTTTGGGATATTCACCCATAAATTAATATTTAAATTGAATTTATAAGCAGTTAAGCATTGTGTTCTTAAAGAAACCCAGCATGAAAATATAATTCCAAATTATGATTAAAGGAAGAATACTGATACTAACCCATCTGCTCAAGGCACTCCGGGTGGTCCGTCGCAAACTTCACCCACTCGTCGATCGTGTAGTACTTGTGGATGCACGTGAACAATCCGTGCTGGAAGCAAAACAATCAATTCTCATTTACTCAATGGACGTGCTGAAGATACAATCTAATACGAGTGCTAAGAGTCCCCGCAAACTCAAGACTTTTTCAGGCTTTGGTGGGGCTGTAAATCAATCTGAACATTGAACAAAGTCAAAGACCAAATTTCTTTAACAATAATAGCATGTATGATGTGTTTGAAATAACTTTCCAAGTTCTAAAAGTTACATAGCAATATGGAATTTATTTAACTACATAGTAGAACAATGGTGTATTGTATAGACTATATGAATGGTACTCGTACTTACAAATCGACAAATATTTTGCTCATAAGGAGCCTCTACATGTCTCATAATCTTTTGACCCTACAGCGCTTCGAGGCCAGCATTTGGCAAGTGCTGAGAAGAAGCGCCGGAACCGTAGTGAGCTACCCATTTTCGTCGTGTCATCTCGCTCTATCGCAAATAAAGATCATTATTGATGAGAGCGAAAGAAAAAACGGATATGGGTAGCTGGAACTGTGGTACACTGGCATATTACACCCCTTTGGTATGGGCCTATTCTTCATACAAATTATCCAACGAAAAATCATTCGTCTGCGGGGACTCTAGGAGCATCTGATTGATCGAAATATAAATTGACACTAGTTCGGTGAAGAGCAAACCGCTTTGTTAATCATTATGCCATTGAACATTTTGCGGGAATCAATAATAACTTTTAATGTTTTTTAAATGGATAAGAAGAAAAGTGCATGTTTGCCCTTTAGATTAGAGAAAGCCAAAATTAGAACCTTTCAGTCAAATTGACTGACTGCGGAGAAGTGAGAAATAGGTACCATTTAGTAATACGACAATATTATGTAAGACCTAACTAGTTTGTTTTGGTTAATTTTCATAACGTTTATTTATGTAAATGTTATCGAAGTTTGTTTGAATAGTAATGTAGGAATTAATTGAATAGGTATTTTCAGCTTACTTTGTTTCACTGCGCTTTTACCGAGAACTGTTTGTTGAACTAAATTGCAAATGTAATAGATTATAATCAGCAAACAACAATGTAGATTTATTTCTGGGAATTTTTTAGGTAGGTAAGTTAGATTTATCATAACTTTTCCACAATGGGACTCTCACACTTCAATGCTTTTGATTCGTTGTACAGTGGCGGCGGTAGCATGGGTTGGCCCCCGGGGGCGTCCCCCCCCCCCCCCCCCGTCACAAGTCCTATGGCACCCCCTGGTACCCCCCAGGATTTTTGGGGTTACCTCGCGATTCGAAGATTGAAAGACAATCGCACCCCCCACCCCCCTCGTATCATGACATAGACGGCAGATTTGCCATGCAGATGTGCCAGTGAGTACTAATCTGCGCGACTTGTGTCACCCCCTGATGCTTGGCACCCGGGGCGGACCGCCCCCACCGCCCCCCCCTTACGCCGCTACTGTCGTTGTAACTTGATACCTATTCATCATCATCATCATTTCAGTCACAGTATGTCCACTGCTGAACTAAGCCTTAGACATGTTCAGTTCAGTCAAATTACCTAAAGGTAAGGTTTAAAATTAAGGAACTAGTACTATATTATTAGCACTGGGACGTTTAGACGACATCGTAAAGGTAGCAGGGAAGCGCTGGACGCAGGCCGCTACCAATCGATCAACATGGAAAGTATTGGGGGAGGCCTTTGTTCAGCAGTGGACGTCCTATGGCTGAAATGATGATGATGATGATGAACTAGTATAGTACCTTGGAGAGCTCCTTGGCCATCTCGAAGGTGCCGACGGTGTCCATGTTGCTGGCCATGACGGGCACTCCTCGGTACGTCTGCCCCGAGTTGCGGAACGTGATCTCCCGGTACAGATCCACCTGGAACGAGATATATCTGTTACTAATGGACTAAGAGCCCAGTGCCCGTGCCCACCCCATAAGGTTATGGTGGCCTACCCCAAGATGTTGGACTACGGATTTGAAGATGATAGTTGACAGTACCAATCCTCTTATCATGGCATGTCAGGAGCCAGGACCTCAATGAATTTGCCATGGGCCTTGGAATAGTTACGCCATTGCTCCCAGCCAACAACAGAATGTTGAACCATCCTGGAGTTTGGGATACTGATGACGCTGTCTTGAGGGAAGGTGCCCAGAAGCCTAGCCACATTGTCGTGCTGAATGAAGGCTACTTCTTTGACCTAGGAACAGGCCAGCTTTCGAATCGTAAGAAGTTTCAGCTAAACACTCAATTTATAGAGAACACTGTTCGCGAGTATCGCATTTGATTGCTAAATAGTATTATACATCTGAAAGTTTGTGAGGCTGGATAGATGGATGTTTGTTACTCTTTCACGGCACGGCAAAACTAAAAATCTGTTTTTGTTGAAACTTTAATTTACTTTACCTATTATAATTTAGAATAACATTGGGTAACATAATTTAAAAAAAATTGGGTTCCGTAGTTGTCCGTCGTTACAATATATTTCAGAAGCAAGCAATTTCTTCATCTAAAGTCACTTTTAATATTTTCTTCTATTATAATACTCATGAGTTAAACGACTATTACTCTTAACCGTTATGGTATTCCTTGAAAGTTCATAAAAAGCACAATTATCATGAATTTTTCCAGATTTTTTAAGCCAACAGTTTAAGTTTTAAAAGGAAAACTGAATATAGCGAAGCCAGCCTCATTTTTGTCGTCGTAGCGAGTCAAATTCAACTCGGAAGATATGACTATCCTCAAAGCAGATCCGAGGGAGGTCGATAGTCGATACACACTTGGCTAGGCGCCTAGTTTGACAGTTTGTTTCTTGGCTGGCGGAAGTGGGCCGCATTGCCAGTGCAGTGGGTCACGGTCTTTGTTATATCACTCTTCCTTATAGGCCCGTATTGTTAAACGAATCTAAAGATTATTTTCAAGAATAAACAAAACTACAAAAGGGATTGGTTTAGTAGTTTCTTAGTTTCAGGCGATTCTTCATACAAATTAGAATCGGGCCCAACTATCGACCAAATAAAAGTTGGTAGTCTGTGTCTGTGGGGAGTCTAATGCACGTTTTTACCATCTAACCCTAATTTTTAAGTGACCCCTATGGTAACACATAACAGGAATTTTGTTTTCAAAAGGGTCACTTAAAATTAGGAATTGATGGTGAAAACGGACATAACAGCCTTATTCATAAACGATGCTTGCTTAATGTGAAGCATTAACGCTATGCGAACAATGACATACCATAAAAACATCTTAGTATGCGAAGTCGAACGCACAGCCTGTGGCACAGCGTTGAATAGAGCTCTGTGATTGGTTTGTGTGTGTCACTTCGCCACTCAAGTGTTTTATTTTGTCTATGAATAGGTTTTTGGGACCCTGTGCATCCACGCGCACTGTGAGACCTCATAGTAATGTTTGTGAATAGGGGTGTTAGTCTCGGATATGGATGTCTGTTAGCACATAGAGTTGCCGATAACCAATAATGATTATTTGTTTGATAGTAGGTACTATACCTACTTAACCTCTATCAGCCGATCTGTTATTAGTCCCACCAGACAGAGTTTGTGTTATGGTGTCTAGGTAACGGGTAATAACTGAAATAAGAGTCAAGGACGCATGTATGTATATTATATGTCGTTCGTTAACTCCCAACTCCCGATATTTTGACGTGCACATTAGGATCATGGGAGATTGGAACCCGCGACCGCTGCGTTTTTATGGAGCTCATTAGGTAGCTTGTATTGTAATTATTAATGTTGAGGTTTTATATCCAGTAAGTAATATTTTATATGAAATCAGAGATCTGTGTTTTATTCCCAAATTCTAAAAAAAAACCAATTGATTCAAATAAATGTGTTTCTGAATGAGCAACATATGTATAATCGAAATGAGAATCTAAAACAAGAACAATTCCTACTGCTTGACCACAAGAGCTATGCCGCTCCTATCGTGTACTATTTCTAGAGATCGTAAATAAATAACAGATTTTATCTTTGCGAACATTTCCACTAAATTACAGAGCAAAGCTTGCTTTCCGCAATTACCTGCATTTCGCTGCGGACTTAGTACAAAAACAGCAAAGAGTGAGGATATAGTTAGCTCTATATCTATGTCTCACTAGCTTTTGCCCGCGGCTGCACCCGCATGAAATTTAGTGTCACAGATCGGCATAAATTAATTTATTTATTTATTTATTTATTTATTTATTTATATTAGGAAGACCAGGGTTTGCATAATTGATTATTTTACAGTTAATAATTCTTGATAACCACTTATAGGTCCCCACAGATAGAATTGTGGTGAATATTTAAAGAAATACCTAATAATACCTAATGCCTAGCCTATTATGTTAATCTGGATTACAAACAATAATACTGTAAAATTTCAACAAAATCCGTTCAGTATAGTTTTTGCGTGAAAGAGTAACAAACATCCAGACATCCAACCTTTCGCATTTATAATATTTGTAGGAAGTAGGATTAATTCTGAAACATAGGAAACATAGGAATCTGTTAATGATAAAGCTAAATTGTCGGCTAGACGGTATAAATACGTACTATAGTATATAAATATATGCTTTATGTATAGCTCACTACGACCAGGCGCCGTGCCAACCGTGCAATGTCAGTGGACCTGTTAAATTCTTTGGTGGTGTAGAAAATTGTATCTTGAACTGAAAGTACCTGAAACTTTCATAATTGTTAGGTGGGTGTATTTTTTAATTAAAAATAATTATTAGGAAAAGAAATTCAGAGCCGCTCTATATTATATGGATTTAATATGGATTTAACTATAAAAAAAAACTTCTGCATACACTAAAAAAACTTCTGCATAAAATAGTAATAATAATTGAGCTGTAATTAATTTGGGACGTGATTTTAGAGATAATCCCATTAAAAAGTTATGGTTTTTGAACACCAAAATTATTTCCTTTCGGATTAAACTTTTTGTAGGTATAATGTAAAAAAACCGGCCAAGTGCGAGTCGGACTCGCGCACCGAGGGTTCCGTACAAACCTGCAAGGTTTACAAAGTTCGTTCATTACGACAATCGAGTCATAACTATGGTATTTTTATTGCAAAATGAAATTCATAACATTACAATGGGGAAAGTAACTACTTAAAAGGAGAATGCCCAAAAGTGGTATCGCTCGAAATCTAATTGTACATTGAGGGTACCACACCGTAAATTCCTTTCTTCATTTGTAATGATTTGCGAAAGTAGTAAGAAATTGTAAAACCTCCGGAATAAAATCCGATTTTAATAAAAAGTATTGTAACAATGAGCTGCAATCAGCAACACCTATCACCGAGCAACGACACTACGTAGTTCGCACGGTTGTCAATAGATGGCGCTGTTCGTAGTTAGCTCGCGGTATCATTTGATTTTTTCCTGTCCTTAAGTAGTCAGGGCTAACCACAAATCCCTTACCCCTTGCAAAATGGTATAAATAACATTGGTATGCACGCAAGATTATTTTGTGTTTATATCTGATCCTTATCAAATAACGCTAGCTTTGGCGTAGCTGGGTATTTCGCCAAAAATGGTCAATTTTACCTAATTTCCTTGGCACGAATTTTATTTTTGTTTATAACTATTTTTTGTTTCCCATTGCATTAAGTAGTAAAAACTAAGCTAATATATCTAGAAGGGGTGTCATAATTCGTTTTAGAAACAAAGTTATGATGTCATACATTTTTGGTAGCCAAGGAAATTATTATAAATATTTTTTTCTCTAAGTTTTCTTCTGTGATTTGCTTTTTTTTGTTCGACCCATTTTTGTGTACTTTCGCAAGCAAACATGCCAATGAATATTATATCATTACGACCTTTTTACACAACTAAGGAAGATAAATGCAGTAGATTGAGTTAAGAGTTAAAAACAAGTTTATCTATATCTATTCTGATACCTATTTCTTAAAATGGAAATTTTAAACTTATTCCAATAAAGAAATACTCAAAATTTGACTTTACGCCGAATTATTAATGGTATTTTATAATTTCCTAGGTCATTTAATGCCACGGAAAACAAGGAAATTAGGACCAAAGAAATTAGATTTATGCCTAAAATACACCACTGACAAAAACCTATTTACCCTCTGAATTTACTATTTAAATCATGGGTTTACCCCTACAGACACTACATTTGTGTAAATAAACAATAAAATTAATCCATTATTTAGCTGCAAAAAACCGTCCAAAGAAATCGACTTTTTAGTAAAAAAAAAACCCAAGGAGGGACCTATTTATGCGATTTGTCACGAAACTGATCAACGACGTACTGTCCTGCCTCAATGGCCTCTTGGGACGAAATGGCCAAGTGTAGTGGTGCAGTGCGTTACATTCTAAGTTTTTTCGTTTCGTTACAACAATGGTCGAAACGAAGACCCAGGGAAATTATACTTTTGACCTGGACAAGAACTTAACTTCACTTTATTTTCTTCCTATAAGTATTTGACATTTAAAGTTTTTATTTTCCGATAGCCAAACGTTTCTCAAATGTAAAGAGAGTGCTATTAGAACTAAATTACGCTTCAATTTGTTATAATGAGCCTTCATTTTGGCAAACAACAGTAATGGACATAACAAGGAAATTAGAAAAACTACTTTTGATCAAGTTTTTCTACGGTATTATTTGTAGTTTCTGCTATTGTAATAGCAAAAACAAATAAAACTTTTGATGAACTTTCCCATAAAAATAGTTTTATACAGATAGATATAAAAAAACATGTGTTCGCCTGCCTGGACACAGAAAATTTACTGTTTCGGCGAAATACCCAGCTAGGGTTTTTTTTTAGGCAGGGTAACTATCTACAAATATAAAACAAGTATTCTAAGGTAAAACCTGTAGCTATGCCAATGGATACCATTCATTTCACTTAAA